TGCGGTTTGGTGCCCTCTGTTGTTGTCCACACACATCACAGGCAACAGTTTCTGGGAACATTGCACATTTCTTGCCAGTGTAGCCCACGTTGCACACTCAGCCAGTCCTCTCCCCAGCACGTTCAGCCAGGTCCTATCCCTGTCCCACTCCAAACTTTCCTGTCCCTACCATTCTGCACTGAGATGTCACGTGCCTTCGTGTTCAATGTCCTGTCTTTTTCTTTACAGAGGTTTAAATCTACACTACTTTCATTTTCCCCCACCTCTTCCCCCAATAATCTTGGTTTATAGATGGGGCAAGGAGAGAAGCTCAGACCTCCCACATGCTCATTGTCCCATACTTCCCACTACCTAATTCCTCTCCTCCATTTCTTTTCATTGCTGTTTATCTGTGGTTCTGATCCCCAAAATCTTTCCCTCTCTTCTCTCCCACTTTTCTGCTCCCAGCCCCTCCTCCCCTGCCACAGGGCACTCACCCACATGTGACTTTTCTCTTTCAAACTAGTGGGGTGCCTTCTAAATTACATGCTGTACTGTGATAAAGTTCCCCAAGCTGCCCCCTCTCCCTGGGTAAATAGGGATTTTAGTACAGTATTTACCGTTTGTTCTCAGATCTTTACCAAGCAGTGTGTTTAAACCTATGCTGAAGGCCAAAGCATGAGCCTCTTGGGCCACCTGCATTGTGAAGGCAGGCTAAATGCAAATGCATCTTGCGAATTCTGGGAAGCATCGGTCTTCACTGAGCCAAGCTCTTTTTCTTGGGATAATGGCTGAGCGACTGCGAATAGTGGGGTAGGGAGTTGCATCCACGGTTTGAGCTTCAGGCATGGGCAAAGAAGGTAGGAGCTAGAGCTAAACTTTATGAAAAGCTGTATGGTGATGGGGTGGTCAGGCTCTGGCTCAGCAACCACGTGGCCAAAGGACTCCACATTTGGGTGGGATTTTGGGTGAGGACAGTGGGGGAAGGGAAAGAGCTGGAAGCAGCAGCTGCAGTACAGGAGGATCAGATGTGAAGTGGTTCATTTATTTCAGTGATTTGTCCTCATCCAAATGGGAACACTGCACAGAAATGGATACAGCTTCTGACTATAATATGCTTACTCCTCCATCTGTCTCATTTAGGTCTTCTCATCTCCTCCACATTGCTGGAGTCCGAGATGGGCACAAGCATGCCCGTTCCCTGCTCCTCTCCCTGGTCTCAGCACTGCATGCTCGGTGCATGCTGTCACCGTGACTCTTCCCAGCTTCTTGCCCAGGAGATCAGATGCTGCTGAGATGCAGGCTTACATGGCAGTTCACAGGGGAATTCAGGCCCCTTTGGAGGGATGCGGTTCTTTTAGCTCAGTGTTTTCTCAACTAGAATATATGAAAGGGTCATGAAAAAAACTTGAAAAATGGATCAACAAACTTTAAAAATGGGTGCTCTTTTGAAGGAGAAAAATGTGGGAAACCATGGCTTTTCCCTTGCAGGCTGGCAGAGTTCTGCTGTGTTCAGATTGCGGTCCTCTAAAATGTCAAGTCCCTTTCCTCTGCCCCTTCTTCACAAAAAAAAGAAAGGAAAAAAATTTGCCAGATGTCTATTTTAGTAGCGTGCCTGGAAACCATCTTGACTTGCACGCGTATGTGCGTTCTGATCTATGTAGCCGTGTGCATGGGCACTCACCAAACTTTTATAATGCAATTTTCTGTTTTGCCTTCACATGTTATTGTTGTACACTTGCTGGAGTAGAAATCAGATTAGATTATTCTGGGCACTTATAAGAGCAATGGTTTCAACTCCAGGGTGTGTAAAAAGTTATGAGAATCTGGGATTTTTTTGAAGCTCTGTCTGAGGAACTTGTTTAAAGGGACCAAAACTTGGATGATTAAGCCTACCCTTTATCCTGTGAATCATGTTGAATTTCAAAGGCAGTGCAGGTCAGCATGTTGATTTTAAGGTGTTAGAAAAAGCAGGTCTTTAAATAGAAACGTGTTCCTAAGTTAACTATATAATAGCTGGTGCTCTGGTTTAAGTGGTAGAGGTGGGGGGCTGTGCATGTGCGCACTACCACACACAGGATTTCTTTTTTTTTAAATGAAGTGCTTGGATTTGCAAGGTAAATAAAATCCTCAATGACTCCTCCTTCTCCATGTTCTCTGCCCAACTGTGAGAAATTTCCCTGTACATTATTGCTGTGTTTAGCTTTTTGGTAAAGCAGGTGAACATAACCTTGGCCTCTCCCTGTCATTTGCATCAGAGAATTGAGTCACTCCAAGTAGAGACTTAACTCTTGTGTGCAAGTATCACACATGAGATTCAGGTTTTTGAAAAGATGCAAATTCAAAAAAGAAGCTATGGCAGCATTAAACTATCTTGCAGGAAAGAGAAGTTGTTCCATTAACATATGTAACGCCTGCCTTTAATTTCCTAATGTAGCATTTCTGAAGGCCATAATTTAAACTTATAAGTGGGTAGACAATATGTTGATTTTGGTCTAAAAGGACTGGCATGCTTAAGAACGAGTGGCACAGTTCCGAGTCGTAGCAGTTGCTGACGTTTCCGAATCAGAGGTGCTCCGGTTAAAGGAAAGTCAGCAGACTGAAACTTGGGTCTCTCGCAAGAACTCTTCCGGACGGGATGCTCGTCTAGTGTTTGGAATTTGAACAAAGAGAAATAAAGCAAGGCTGAGTGATTTGTGGTAGGCGCAAAGAAATCCAGGTTCGACAGATTCTGACCTGTTTCTCTGCACTTAGATATAGAACAAAAAGCTCAAGTGTCCAACGTGGACAGCGTGCTTTAGCGGACTTAGAAGCACACAACCAGACACGGTTGCTACTTGGAGCTCGTAATCTGCATAAACAGGCAATGTAAGGTTTAATTCGGATCTAGAGGGCAGTGCTGTGCATTTTTCCACCCCCCAGTTCCATTTCAAGCCTGAAGTCAGCGTGGCTTTTTGTGAGATCTCATTAAAAGGGGTTCTCCTATGTGGTATAATATGTTTCTGTCACTACATTGAAATGACTTCGTTGCTGTCCAATTCATCCTCTTAATAAATCAGCTGTTGAGAGTAAAGTAATGAATGCTTTGATGTCTACTGGGTTGCATAAACCATCCCTTGCACACCTCGCATGGTTCAGGCATGTGGGTGGCTGGCTGGCTGAGCGATCACACCCCTCCAGTGCTCTGGGCAGAAGGGTAGAGAGAAAATCTAGTCTCTCTGCAGCAGGCGATAAGCTTCCCTTCATAGTGTGCATGGAAGTAGGTGATTTGGGAAGGTTTTACTTCTTTACAGGTAACAACCATTGGTATGTGAACACTGTTGTCACTGTTTGGGGGATGGTTTTATCACCTGGGCAGAGTATTTAAGAAGCTCTCACTAAAACTTTGCTGTTAATTGTGTCTTATTACTGTGACCTGTTGCCGATTGAACAGCCGATGCTGTATTTGTTTTGAGTTTGTGGGCTAGAATTTCCCACCATTGCCTCAGCCCTTTGATTTTTCTTGAGGATCCCAGGGAGAAAGTAAATGTGTTGGAATCCCTTGCTGCTATAGCATCCAAAGGCCTCTGTCAGGGTCAGGGCCTTATTACGCTAGGGCCTGTGACCATGTAGGACAGTTTTCTTGTGTTGGGTCAAGGGGCATCTCCATGCTTGCCTGGCCCTGTTCAAAGGGACCAAGTGGCAGCAGCAATTAAGTATCCTAGGAGCATCAGAGGCGAGTCATGTGGGGTGATTAGCCTTTTCTGCTCCCCTTGTATGTTATTAGATGGAGGGGAAGAGCTTTGATATTTGGCTGGATCTTAGTGTGTTATAAGAATTGTTTCTATGCAGTTTTGGAATCCCCTTTTCCTTATTTGTGCCCGTTCGTGTGGCCACGTGCAGCTAAAAGCGTTTTGTACTCAGTGCAGCACCCGGAGATCTGGTGAACGGGGAGGGGAGTGTTTGTAGTAGCGTTGACAGTGGTTGCACATTTTTATGCAATAACTAGGTGAAAATATCTTGTGTTGATCCATACATTTTTGGTTTTCTGTAGGTGGACTAAAAACACAATTCTAGCAACTACTTTATCATGTTCAGCTACTCATACTACCTTGTGCTGTTTTCCTTCCTTAATCCATATCCAAAATGGAAAGTATATTGTACTGATACGTGTCTGTTTTTCCTTGCAGTGTTTAGTTCCTGTATTCCACCACTCTTTGATGGAAGAGGACTATAATCCAAAAGTGAGCTCTTCAACGTAGAACAAGAAGCCCTTGTTGGATAACTCTTCCTCCTTTGCAGCAGCAGCAGCACCCAGTCTACAAGAAAAGCTTAAGGAGAGAGAAGATTACTTTTGGACCTGGCACCTTCCTGTTAATTTTGCTTCTAGTTCAGCATGTAAATGGTGAACCAGCAGAGAGCCAAACAGTTGTGACCGCCTATGAGCTTCCCATCAATAGCATTTAGTTTCTTTGAGTGGAAACTAACAGTTCCATGAAGTGCAGAATATATCGAAAAATCATTTATTTTTAAGAACATTAACACCGTGAATTTTTTTAGAAACTGAATGTGTGATGAAAATGAAGCTTATATTTTAAGAGTGTTTGGCCAGATGTTTCCCACTTAATCTCAGAATTTGGGGAAAACATTTTTCTAGAACGTTATTTCCCCTTCCCACCCCCCCCCCCCCCCCTTTTACTGACTCCCTCCCAAAACAAAAAAAATACAAA